GGGATGGGTGTGTCAGAGGCAGTACGATTGGCACAGGATAGAGCGGGTTTAGTGCTGTTGTTGTACATAGGGTCCCTATGAGTCGCAAACGACTCGACAGCACATGATAACAACCACAATTTCTCTTTAGGAATCTGGAGAAGTCCCTTACAATAAACTTTCATAATGCTATTATGCCCCTTGATCAGATGGCTAATACCAAGAGTGTTAACTGTTGGTCCAAATAAGATGAAATCGTTGACAATTTCAATCTTTACTCCATCTGTTGCTTATTGGCCCAGTGATGAGGATTTTTGTTTTCTTAATGTTAAGAAGTAGTCCATATTAAAGGTTTGACCTTCTGCAGCAAGTGCCTTAAGTCAAGTGCCTTAAGTCCTCCTCACTTTCAGCAAGGAAGGTTGTGTCATCTACATAATGCAGATTTTTGATGAGTCTACCTTCAATCCTGATGCCACAGAACAAACATATCTTAGAGAAAGTGCAACCATAGTGCTTCTTAGAAGTAAGGATAACAAAGTTTCATTTCATGTACTTTGGGCATGTTGTTAGGAGAAACTATTGCTTGGAAAGGGACAACATGCATGGAAAGGTAGAGGGTCGGTGAAAGAGGAAGACCCTCAAAGGGATAAAATGGACACACTGACTGTAGCTATGGACTCAAGTATGTCTGTATTAATAAGAATGGCACAAAATAAGGCAGGGTTCAGAACTATTGTTCATAGAGTGGCTATGAATTGGAGTAGACTCAGTGGCTCCTAACAACAACAAAACTCTCTGGCAGGTCCACTGTGAATAGGTTCTAGTTCATGGCAATGAGTTTGAGTTCAATCATACTGGTAGGAAATTTAGCAAACCAAGTGAGGGGAGTTGTTATGTGCTGTTTGTTGAGTTGGACCCAAATCATAGTTAAACCTCCAGGAGGTTTTTAGAGGCAGTAACAAAAATCTCTCTTTGAGCAGCTGGTGTATTCATACAGCATAGCTTTGGGATTGCGGCACAGCTTCTTACCACCATAAGACGTCCCATAATTTTATAGTTCAATGTAAAAGATTAATTTGTAGGTTAAAGTATCGAAAATAGGCATCACTCTTAAAAACAAACATAACATTGTCTGGTGAGTTTTTATTTTAATACATATAAAAAAGTACAGAGACAAAAAGTTGTGTGATTGTAATGTTTTAACATTTAACTTGAATGGTATCATGTTAATTTTAAGTAGGTCTTGAAATGTTAGCCTTGTGAATGGTGATTTCTGACGCAGAAGGATATTGCTTCTTGTACCCCACGTGTATTTGACTACTTCTGGAAATATTTGTACTTTTTATTGTTTGTTTTCTAGTAAAGTGAAGCCAAAGATGCTGCTAAATATTCTATGGTACATAAACTAGCGTCTCCAACTAAGTATAATCTATGGCTGAAAATTTAAATAGTGGCAAGGTTTACCAAATACATAAAATTAAAAAAAGGCAAAATTAGACAAATGAAAATACCGTTATTCAAGTATAAAAAGTAAGTGCTAAGAGAAAACAATAAAATAAAACATAAGCAAATAAAAATACAAATGAGACACATAATATTTTGAAATGTTTGAAATAACTGTAACTTTATTAACTACTTTAAATTGAAAAGTTGCTTCATAGTAAAATATTCATTCATGTTTGAGCCCAGCAGAAACAACTATTGAGTACTGAGCTGATTGTAAAACTTCCATGTCCCATTCAAAACACCAATTTGCAAGTCCTTTGGCCAATTTCAGTAATGCCAATTTGTATAAAACTTCTTGTTGCTGCTTCTCAGTTTCAAGCCACCTTCTTTATTATGCACACATAGTATTAACATCTTAAAAGAAATTTAGCTCCAAAGAACAAAATGATACAGCTTATGGGTTGCTTAATTTACATTTCCATCTCCTATCCATAAATTAAACTAAAGAGAGTGACCAGGTTATCATTTTTACCTTAGTAACACATAACGACAACACCCAATGTGTGTATTTCCCTTGTCTGTGAATGTCTAATGTCTAATACAATGTAATTATGGGTGTGTTGCACATACCAAAATGTTTCTCTTATCTAAGAAACCAGGAAACAAAAGGTATGAGCTTTCAGCACCTTAATTTCAATACTGTAACTCTTCCTGTAGGATAGAACCATCTTGAGTTTTTAGAGGAGGTGACCACCTGTCCTGATTCTCTCTTTACATGTCTTTTTCCATCTATACCTCATGTTGTAATAAACTGCTATTTCTTCCACTATTGCAACTGCAATGGTTACAGAGGTTTTTCACCCTAACAGGCTGTAACCACGCTAAAGATGAATGATGAAATTCAGAAAAAAAAGCAATGTTTAATGTTTTCTGAAAATTCCCATTTTAAATGTAAGTAAATAGGTAAGTGAAAGAGATAAAAAATTATACTATGCAAATAGTATTTAAAATAAAGTCGGAATGGATATAAAAAATATAAGCATCATAATTCAGAACTAGAAATATTGCCAAGGAAAAAAAGCTATGTGATCATAAAATTTTTCAATTGTCTAAGAATACATAATTATACTAAATATAAGAACACATAATAGAAGAACTTTAAAATGCATGAAGCAACATGATACAAACGAAATGAGGTACAGCTAAGACTTCAATATTATTTTTGCTGCATCTAATAGAAGAAAATGATAAATTATGACGTGAGTTTTAAGGACACACTGCTAGAAATGAAAACTGGAGTCTGTAAAGCTTCAAGCATAAGTTTTGCTGCTGTGAAGCATCTTTGTTTAACCTCCATTGTATAAAGTGTCTTGATAAGACTGTAATTCATATCAAAGGAAAACCTGTAAGCAAGATGTGTTGCTGCTTGCCTTTAGCGTGTTAGTGAAAAGTGACCCCTCAACTCAACATGTAAATGCCAAAGACAATGCAACCACTTTGATCTGGGGTGTGGTGTCCTGATTTCCATATCATTACCTGCCTTTTCCTTTTTTATGTTGTGTTGATTGCCTTCTAGTCCAGCAAGACTCATAGTGACCCTATGAACAAAAGGCCTTTCTATAACTATCATCATTTATCACAGTTCATAAAGTCTCCAGAGGCATGTTGGTTAAGAAGTGGATGCCACTCCTCCTTCCAAATATTCTCTGATATTGTGGGCTGATGAAACTGCTTTTCTTAGATTTTTTTCCCCCCCAACCTCTATTGTTACTGATTTTTCCTCTACACCACACCTTAATATGATGTAATTTTACATGGATCCACAATAACATCCATGATAATAGCAGACAAGAAATCAAAAGATGTGTTGATTTGGCATATCTGCTGTCAAAGACCTTTTTTTTCTTTTTTACAGTGCTCAAGGGCAAGGTGTATCTGACACAAACCGCAGCATTTTCAGTTACTTCACATTCATGCAAAATTTGGAGAATGAATAAAGATGACTTTAAAATTTTAAATTTTGAAAGTTTTTGAGATAGTGATACCATGATGTTGGCAAAGAGAATGGAACAGACCAGTGACTGCATAAAACAGCAAAGCAATCTGTCTTGAAGGAACTGCAAGCAGGGTGTTCCTTATAAATAAAAATAGTGGACCTTGATCTTCTGTACTTAGGACATGTTAAAAGCCAGCAGTTTTTCAGGGGAAAAGCCTCATTCTTGGAAAAATAGATTGTTAGCCAAAGAGAGGATGACTATGAATGAGCTGTATTGACATAAGAACGGCAACAATGAGTTTGACTATATTAAACATCGTGAGAAAGGCACAGATAGGGCAAGGTTTTGATTTGTTGTTGTTCATGAGGTTACTATAAATTTTAATCAACTCAGCAGCACCTACCAACAACAATCAGTTTAAGAAGAACAATTTTTGAGTATTTGTAATTTTCTACAATTTAGAGAGAGATCCAATATTTATATAATTATTGTAAATATAGAGTTCGTATTCATTCTTAAAGGTGTCCCCAATCACAATCTTCTCAATTGCAAAATAAAAGCTATTTAACTTGTAACACATTTTGACAGCAGTACAAGACAAACAGCTAGAAATATCAATGGAGTTTTGGGTGAGGGAAGTGTCAATGAAAGCACAGTACAGTATCAGTTTCAAAAATTCTACTGCTCTGAATTTGAACTCATAAGTAAGGTCATAGGTAGGTGGTGGTGTTGTGTACCATCAAGTCAGAACTGACCCATAGCTGAATCTCCACCAGGTTTTCAGAGACAGTAAATCACTCACATGGGAGGAGATTGTCCATCCTTCTCCCGCTGAGTAGCTGGTGGATTCGAACTGTGTGCCTTTGCATCTTGTTGGCAAAATAGGTAGATTGTTTTAAAAAAAAAAAAAAAGGTAGATTGTAATGATTCTTATTTGATTGATAATATTTGAACAGAATTATGAAATTTTAAAGTTAAGGTTTAATAATTTGCTTTATTTTGCAACAATTTAGCAGTTTCATAAGATGCATGTGATTTTCATGCTTATTTCTGCTTTTGATGACTCTAAAATCTAAGATGTTTTCTTTAACAGATTGTAGGAGGGCAGGAAGATGAAAAGTATGGCTCAGCTGATTTTAGTTGTGAATAACTGAATAATGCATTCTCGGATCTGTTTCGTTCTAACTCCATAGATGATAGGGTTCAGCATGGGAGGTACCAGCAAATACATGTTCGCTAGTAAAATGTGAGTGTGGCGTGGGATATGCCTACTAAAACGGTGGGTCAGGAATGAGAAAAGGGCAGGGATATAGAAAGTGAGAATAACACAAACATGGGATCCACAAGTACTGAGGGTCTTCAACCTGGCATCTTTAGATGGGAGACTGAATACAGTACGAAATATATAAACATAGGACAGACAGATGCATGTCACGTCAGTCCCAACAATCAATACAATGACTGCCAAACTATAAAGACTATTAATAGAAATATCAGCACAAGCCAATTTCACCACAGCCATATGCTCACAGTATGTGTGCGGAACTACATTGGTCTGGCAGTACGGCCACCTCCTTACTAAGAAAGGATGTGGTGTCATCAGCACTAACCCGCGTAGAAGTGCCGCTGTGCCAACCTGGGCCACCACAACATTTGTAAGAATAGATGAGTGTCTCAAAGGATTGCAGATAGCTACATACCGGTCAAGAGCCATGGCCACAAGAAGCCCTGACTCTACTCCAGAGAAAGCATGGATGAAAAACATCTGAGTAAGGCAAGCGTGGAAGTTGATTTCATGGTAATTGAACCAAAAGATACTTAGCATCTTGGGAAGTGTAGAGGTTGACAAGATGAGGTCCGTGGTGGCCAACATGGAAAGAAAGTAGAACATGGGTTCATGGAGAACAGTCTCGGTCTTGATAATGAAAATGATGACTGTGTTGCCAATGAGGGCAACAATATACATGGAGCAGAAAGGGATGGATATCCAAATGTGTAAATCTTCTAGACCAGGAATACCCATCAAGAAGAAAGTACTAGGATTGGCAAATGGAGTAGAATTAAAGTGAAGCATGGTCTTTCTGGTTATATGTGGTCTTGTTTTCTTTCCTTCATTTATCCTTGGGATAGATCATAATGCAACCAAATGTGAGTACAATCTAATCTGCAACAGAATCAGCATAAAAACACAACCAAGAAAATCTATTCATCATTTAATCCCACTCGAGAGCTTCTTGAATCAATTTATTGACCTAACTAAGGACTGTTGGAAGAGGAATAGATCTTCTCTGATAATAAGATGACTTTAAGCTCAGACTTTTTATCCTGCATCATATTAAGAGCTCTCCTCCCAACCCTGATAGAATAGGGAAAATTCCTAATAATTGATATTGGCTTTCCCCATCCAAACAAGGCATTGTAAAAATCTACAATGTTGCCTTAATTGAAAGATACCTCTGAAAATCATTTATGCCTTAAGGGTTTGTTGTACTAGGCAAAAAAATATCAATTTATTGAAACAAAATATTAAGGAATTATAAACTTTCTAGAAGCATTCTTTTTGAATGACGGTATCTCTAGAATATTGTTTCCCTGGTAAATTTTCACTTTTTAAAAAGCTTATGAAGTTAGGCACACACACGAAAAGATTTTGCCAAGTTTAAAACTTTGCATAAAATACATACATTTAAAAACAATTAATTATCAAATCATTTTGTTTCACCTCTTTGAAATTCAGATGCTAGCCAGGCACAGGGGACTCTGAGTTACACTTAAGGCTTTAGGTTACACTTTCTAAAGGAAGGACAGCTCTAAACCTATCTGTAAACTTTCAGAATAATTATTATTCATTTGTACTAGAAAGAGAAATGTGAAGGGCATCAGCCAGTGCCCAGTTTTCGGATTTGTATAAATTCTGATAAAGTCACAATTTTATACTTAATTTATAAGAGTAGAAACTGTATTTTACATGTAGGAGCTCTCGGGGTGCAGTCCATAGAGATTCTCTGCTAACCAAAAGGACATGCATTTATATTGGTTCAAATCCACCAGCTGCTCTGAGGGAGAAGGACAGATGCACAGTCATCAGCTGTTAAGACTTACAGCCTTGGAAACCTGGTGAAAAGTTGCTATGAGTCTGAATCAATTTGATTGTAGTGAGTTTTGTATTGAGTTTTATTCATATATATGTAAACAATTATCCAAAGCTACCTAACCAGCATTCGCCAGAAGAGAATATAGTCTTGTTTCCTCCAAAACGGTATCCTTGTTCACTACAAAATGTAGTCCAAATAAAGGAAGATGTTATGTCAAAGGGCTTTTACATGCCAAAAAATATTACAACAGGAGAGCACTCACAGGCAATCAAAAAAAATCATTCAAAACCCCAAACAAATTGGTTTTCATGGATTAATAATAATGGCTTAAAGCATATTAATAAAAATAATACTTAACTCTTTCTGTCCCAACATCTAGTTGATATGAGATACTAATTTTGTAATTAATGTCAGTAATGTGACAGCTATTCAGATTGCATACCTGCACATGCTTTCTTTCCCTTTGATACTCTCAATTCTCTGAAAAACTATAAACATAAAGAAGATGTGAGGAAAACCTCAGGAAAGACAGTTAACATCACAAGTGACTGCTGAATGTGGTTGGGATACAGTTTCCCCTGTTTAAACATAATGCGTGAACATGCTGTCGTATTTTCGACCTTTGTTACATGATCTTAATTTTCAGCACATGTGACTATAAGGAATTCATAGTAATTCTGTATAGATTTTTCTCACCGTTATGTAATTCTTCCTCATTCAAAACTGTCCCCTCATCACATCATTGTCTTCCTCACTTATTAGATTTAAGCAGACACAGATGAAATATTCATCCTTCCAGACTAATTATGTTGTGTTGATGAAAGCCAAAAAACTTCACAGATTTTTAATCATTGTGTGCATGTAAACCTCGTGAGATTTACAGCCCCACTTGGGACAGTCCATACTTAATACAGTTGTTCCTTTGCTGCTGGGAAGTGGGAACAAGCCCTTAGGTAATAAGCATATTCTTTATCTCATAATGTCAGTTTGGTGTGAGAGAGATTGAAGGTGTCTTTTAAAGGAACACTTGATTTTCTTAAATGCTATGTCTCTGACCAATACATGACTTCAATTAAAACTAAATAAGCAGGTAGAGGACTTAAGGAAAAACATAACAGTAAAGTAAAAAAAAAAAAAAAAACAAAAACAAAAACTAGATCCATGTATTACAATAAAATTTAGCATGCCTGCTAAGCAAGATATGCAAATATATACACAAATATGTATAAATATAATTATAATTCAAATTAGTTGTTCACATATTAAGAGATCACATATTTTTTTAGATGGTGAGACAACTTATCACTGGGGGCTGCAATGTGTTTGTGTATACCCCGCAGGCAGATTTGTGCTAACCCAGAAAGTGCCTTATCTACAGTAAGCAGTTTTAGTCAGACTATAGCCATGTCTGGGCAGTTGCAGTAGTGCTGTGTTGAATCATTATTTTACATGTAACCAGGCAAGCCCGATGTGATATGAGTTGTGGTCCATGTGCATAATGTTCTGAGAATTACAAGAATTTGATAGGAAAGTTCCCAGGAATCTTGGGATAAGACCCACGGTAAGATTTGTGTTCATGTAACTAGTGCGGAATTCACAAGTATGTGTGTCCCCCTGGGCTCATGGTTCCCTGCAATCTATGTGAGAACTGCAATAAAGAGATGTTGTGTACTGTAGAGCTGGAAGTGACCCATAGCTGACCCTCCAGCAGGTTTTCAGAGGCAGTTAATTGCATAGGAGAAGAGTGCCCATCATTCTCTCTTGCAGAGCAGCTGGTGGATTAAAACTATGTTCCTTTGTAATTGCAGCACAGCTTCTTGCCACTAGGCCACCAGAGATCCTTGCAGTTTCTCAGTTCTTCATGTTCACTTTGCAATTGACACTGAACATAAGCATATGGTGTTGGCTGATTGTCTCGGACCTAACCTTTACTACAATGAGTAAGCAAAATACCTGACTTTGGACATGACAAATTACACTGTAGCAGAATTAAGATAAGATACTTATCAAATATTGCCCACAGTTTTGATAGCTCAGTCAAAACTGTGGTCAAGGGGAGCTCTGGTGGCCTAGTGGCAAGAAGCTGCACTGTAATCCCAGAGGAACACGGTTCGAATCCACCAGATGCTCTGCCGGAGAAGGAGGAGCAATATCCTCCTGTACCAGTCAGATCTGATTTGACGGTACACGCACACAAAATAATAAAATTAAAAAAAAACAACACAAAAAAACTGTGGTCAAACAAAATAATCTCTCTCTTCTTGTTGTTGTTGTTAGGTTAAATCTGCCCAGTTCTGACTCACACTTTGTACAACTGACCAAATAAGTACTGGGTTCCATGCCATCCTTACAATCATTGTTATGTTTGAAATCATTGTTGAAAACAATGCATACTTCCACCTCATTGAGAATCATCTTTTATGGTAGTCATCTACTTTACCAATTATAATGTTCTTTTTTAGTGTCTGGCTTTTTTTTTTTTTAAATTTAGGTTGTTTATTTTTCATTTCAATGAACATCTACAGAGATTTTGGGATTCCATTCATTCATTGTTGCACCCTTCTCCCTGCACAAACCCCTCATGTCCAAAACATGTAATAATAGTAGCTTTTGCTATCACCATTTATAAAGGCAATTATTATTTTGCCACCATCAAAATTTAAAAATGTGAAGTTTTCTTTAAAGAAATTTTTAAATTTTGATGGTCACAAAATAATAATTTCTTCCTTATCTTTAATCCAGCTTCTAAAGATATTTGAAGTAATTGAAAATAGCTTGAATCAGAAGCACTTTAACCATTAAGGTGACATTTTTTCAAAAATTTCAACATTTTAAAGCTTTTTTTTTTAGTAGATTTACCCAATCCAATAAATTTGTTTGATTGACTTGTTTGCTGCTACCAGGAACATTGATTATAAATGTAAGTAAATTAAAATCTTTAATAACTTTGTAGTGATGTTTCAACTACTGGTACTGAGTTTCTCCATTGTACTTCCATGTACCTAGTCTATTTGATTTGTTTGTTTTCTATACGGGAATGTGTTTACTCGCTGTGTATGTTGTTGAAGAAAAGGTGTATATACAGTAAGTAAGCCATCGGCTTGCAATTTCAGTTATGTGACTTTTGGCATCATTTTAATCACCAATATCATACTATTGCAACTACTGAATGGCTTTTTATCATTTGAAAACCCTTCAGAGCAGGCATAGCTGAAGTTTCTCAGAGGGTAAAGGATTTTCCTACCAGATTGCACTTTCTATTCGGCATATGTTTTGGAGTTTGTTAAGGTCTCTCTCAAATTGTATGAGTTAATTCTTCAAAATAAATCTGTTTTAATTTTTTTACAAAAAAATTAAGCCAGAACAGACATATCAGTTTAGTTTCTTTAAAGAAATTTGAGTAATATTTTTACATAGTTTTTACTTCCTATGATGTATGGTACAATCAAAACTCACTTTCTCTTAAGGTTCCTTTTTGACCAGCCATTTCTGGACAATTGCTCCAGACATGTTTTTATTTATTATTTTTAAATACAGTATTACTTTATTTTATTTTTTCTATGTTGTTGTTGTTGTTATGTGCCGTCGAGTC